AGGTGTGAATACCTATGCGATCCGATTCTAGTGCAGACCCACAAAAGGGTCCTGCACCTTTTCGGTGCTGGTGCGGTGCTATTAGAGCCATACAAAATGTATCCAATAGCACCGCATACAAATCGCACGTTATTTGCGAGGAATGTGGTGCGGTTCCTGTGCAAATCACATGCAATATACCGCACCGCATATTTATGAACCCAGGCTGAGTCAGTCAGGCCCCTGGTAGGCAGAGGGAAAATAGGAAGTTATTAAAAAGTGCTTCTTCTGGCATTATTTGAAAATACTTAAAATGTCCATCTTACCATCAAAAACAAAATAAAATAAGCAATACATCTATAAATAAAGACAGCTGAATATATGTACAAATCTAAACTGTTGTCCATAAGTTACCATTGCATTAAGAGAAAAAAATGCAGGCTCAGGAGGAGAAAGGAAGTGAGCTTCATGATAAACTTTGCTTGTGTTTTTCTTCGTATGCTTAGTTTTTCTTATCCACGAGTATGACGGGTTTACTTTAAGGCTTTTCTACCCTGGAAACTGTGTATTCAATGCTTAGTAAATGCTGCCTTGAGAGCCCCTTATTAATTCACACTAAGGGACTTATACAAAGGTGACATGGCCTGTAGAGTAAACTGTCATCCTGGGTAATGATGCCAGAAGTGTCCTGCGCTAACACATACTCTTTTTGGTCCCAGCCAAATGATTGGTTATTTTTCCACAGCACATACAGTAGGGTGAAATCAGTTGGAAGACTGCAACTAACAAAGAAGAAGGAATATGAGAAATATGTCACACTCCAGTTCTCTAAAGAAAAGGACTTTGTTCTGGGAAATGCACTAGAAAATGTATTGAAGTCACTAGATACTCAATAGCAAGCACATAGTTAAAAATAGTAATATGAAAAATTTCTATTGTATAGTATATCTTTGTTGGTCTCAAAGGTTTCAATTCCAATAGTGAGGTTAAAAGGTGACCAAATGTAAAAAGGGCTCATAAGTGGATATCTTGAATGTTTTCAACCCAGTTTTTACTATGGATCAATAAATGAAATAGATTTTAATGACTTTGTCTGCCATATATATTAACATTGATTGGAATGTAAAATCGCTATTTGCGTATGTAATATACATGTTTTTTGCTTTTGAAGCCTGTCTTCATGTATTATGCATCCATTAACCATTAACCTTTAGAAATACCCTTTACCATTTTTTTTTATAAGTGAGCACATGACCTTTGTTATCAGTTGCATAAGGGGTTTAGAGAGGTGGGGGTGGATACTCCTTATGAAGATAGGAGGAGAGGGGGGTGACAGTAGCATTTTTATCTAAGCGTGGGCACAGACTCGTGTAAGATATGTAAAATGCAAATGTAGAAATATACTGTGACAATATATGCAGGGATGGGGTGGTTCAGCAGAGGCAGGGGAAAAGCATTACACTGATCTTCCCAGGTTACGGGGTGTGCTGCGTACATGGTGGGTATGTCATCAGAGGCAGTGGAGCAGCAATACACTAATCTTTCCAGTGAAATGCTGGGCAGGGAGGCAGAAGTCTGATCACAGGAGTGAAAGCATGCTGTACATGAGCACAGCATCCTGTAGCTTCCAAGTAGAATGCAAAGAAGCAAACTGACCATGTTGGTATGGATTTGCTTCCATGCATAGTTAGTTGGAAGTAGGAAAGCGCAGGGAATCCAGGATCACCAGGTATTTTACACAAAGGAAGCAATGCAAAGAGAACAGGATATTTTGTCATACAAGTACGAGGAAATACAAACATATATCAAAAATATAAAGTGATGGGGAAACATACACTTTAATAAGCACATCCCAGATATTTACCCCTACCATATACAGTTGCAAGAAAAAGTATGTGAACCCCTTGGGATTACGTGGAGTTTTGCATGAATTGGGCATAAAATGTGCTCTGAACATCATCTAAGTCACAACAATAGAAGAACACAGTCTGCTGAACATAATACTACACAAACATTAGATGTTGCCATGGTTTAATTGCACATAACATGTAAACATTCACAGTGCAGGGAGGAAAAAGTATGTGAACCTTTGGACTTAATAACTGGTTGACCCTCCTTTGGCAGCAATAACCTCAACCAAACGTGTCCTGTAGTTGCAGATCAGACCTGCACAACGATCTGGTGTAATTTTGGGCCACCCCTCTTCACAAAACTGTTTCAGTGTAGCAATATTCTTGGGATGTCTGCTGTGAATCGCTCTCTTAAGGTCAAGCCACAGCATTTCAGTCGGGTTGAGGTCAGGACTCTGACTGGGCCACTCCAGAAGGCGTAGTCTGTGCTGTTGCAGCCATTGTTTTGTTGAATTACTTGTATGCTTTGGGTCATTGTCCTGTTGCATCACCCATCCTCTGCGGAGCTTCAGTTGGTGGACAGATGGTCATACATTTTCCTGCAAAATGTCTTCATAAACTCTGGAATTCATTTTCCCATCAATGACAACAATTCGTCAAGGCCCTGAGGCAGCAAAGCAGCCCCAAACCATGATGCTCCCTCCGCCATGTTTTACAGTGGGGATGAGGTTTTGATGTTGGTGTGCTGTGCCTTTTTTTTCTCCACACATAGTGTTGTGTGTTCTTCCCAAACAACTCAATCTTGGTTTCATCTGTCCACAGTATATTTTGCCAGTAGTGCTGTGGAACATCCAGGTGCTCTTTTGCAAACTTCAAACGTGCTGCAATATTCTTTTTGGACAGCAATGGCTTCCTCCGTGGTGTCCTCCCATGTACTCCATTCTTGTTTAATGTTTTCCTTATTGTAGATGTGTCAAAAAAAATGTTAGCATGTGCCAGAGATTTCTGTAGGTCTTTAGCTGACACTCTGGGATTCTTCTTTACCTCATGCAGCATTCTGCGCTGTGCTCTTGCAGTCATTTTTACAGGACGACCACACCTAGGGAGAGTAGCAACAGTGCTAAACTTTCTCCATTTGTAGACAGTCTGTCTTACCGTGGACACATGAACATCAAGGCTTTTGGAGATACTTTTGTAACCCTTTCCAGCAAGTCAACAATTCTTGTTTGTAGGTCTTCTGAGAGCTCTTTTCTGCGAGGCATGGTTCACATCAGACAGTGCTTCTTGAAACCAGTAAACCCAAAACAGGTGTGTGTTTTTTAAGGGCAGGACAGCTGTCAGCAACACATCCAATATCATCACACTGATTGGAGTCAAGGTTGGCTCACTCCTGGCTCCAATTAGCTCTGGGAGAAGTCATTAAGCTAGGGCCTCACATACTTTATCCTCCCTGCACTGTGAATGTTTACATGTTATGTGCAATTAAACCATGGCAACATCTAATGTTTTGTGTAGTATTATGTTCAGCAGACTGTGTTCTTCTATTGTTGTGACTTAGATGACGTTCAGAGCACATTTTATGCCCAATTCATGCAAAACTCCACGTAATCCCAAGGGGTTCACATACCTTTTCTTGCGACTGTATATAAGGAAGAGGCAGGTTCCAGACAAAGAGCACAAACCAGTAGCTATTCATAACGTTGGCCATACGCTGATCAGTAGGGACTGGCTGAATTTCAGTCAGTTTGTGGGTTCCATTCCTCGACAGAAGTCAACTGTTAAATCAACTTGTTGAAGGGACATGCTGAGAAACTTTTTTAGATTAGCAGCTGCAGCCAGTGTACATTGTATTTTGACAACAGCAAGTCCCACTGTCAACATACAATGTCCTGGTCGGGGGGTATTCTACAAACATCCACCTTGTTCGCAGGGCTGAAAAAAACAAACAAAAAACAAACTGTGTTAATTATGACAGTGACAGATAAGTAACAGTAGGCAGAAAATAACACCAAGAAATGGAAACCAGAAGCAGGTTCCAGAGGGAAGTAGTAATTGAAGATTAGAGGTGGCACACATTGCTAGACTCAATGTCAGTGAACCAGGAGGCATGCACTCCCCACTTCCTTGCTGAACCCCCCTGGTAAAGCACATTGCCATTATGTTGATATTGGCCTTACCACAACACAAGAAGAGGATCAGGGCTGCTCTGTGCAAAACCTTTACACAGAGCAGGTAAGTATAACATGTTTGTAATAAAAAAAACTAAGCCTTTAGTATCACTTTAACAAAAAAGTACAGATAGAAATATATCTGGATGTAGTCAAAATTAAAGTGTATTGTGAGCTAAATATCCCTGAATAATAAAGAATACAGTATACACTTACTGATCCTCTGTCCCTCCCTGCTTTTAGACTGGTTCCCCCGAGATTCAGTAGTTTAGACTCCTGGCATCATGTAGACCAAAGCAGGGTCCATAGCCCTACACTGGACTTGATGCTAAAGGACAGTCACCTCAGAGAGTGCCAAGAGAGTAGGGGATCAGGTAAGTAAAAGTGTTCCTGCTCTCTTCTAGACAAAGCAAGCAATTAATTCTTCCAGTCTGGGCGTAGCCCCACTGCAAAGGATACATTTTAATAATCCCTGGAGTTGGGCTTTAAGAGATTTTCAAGTTCATTAATCATTTATGTTCCCATTAAAACATAACTTCAACCAAACGTAACAAGATTCACCACTTTCCTGCCACCCTATAGCAGAGAGTACTGCTACGGGGCAGCAGGGCTGCACAAAATCACATATATAAACATGATTTGCATTCCGGATAGGAATCGGTGCTGTTGGCAGCTAGGGATGTCAATTACCGGGTCCTGGCCGGCGATTCCCAGCTGGCACTCAGCAGTCGTTGGTTAAACAACACAGGTCTCTCCCCTGTCAGTATGGACGTGCTGTTTTGTACCTATCTGCACAGCAGAGAAATACAAAACAGCATGTCTCCCTAGTAAAACAGAACACAGCACACAGCACACAGTAAAACAGCACACAGTTACCCTTTGATCACCCTAAATGTTAGCCCCTTCCTGCCAAGTGTCATTAGTACAGTGTCAGTGCTTTTTATTAGCACTGATCCTTGTATTAGTGTCATTGGGATGTCAGTGGCAGTTAGTCAGTTCCCATCCAGTGTCAGAATGCCCACCGCAGTCCCCTTATAAGTCGTTGATCGCACCATTACTAGTATAATAAAAAGAAAAATTCCAGTATATATACCTCCATTTCTAGATGCTATAATTTTCACATAAACCAATTGATTTACACGTATTGGGATTTTTTTTTAGCAAAGACATGCAGCAGAATACATTTTGGCCAAAATTTATGAAGAAATTTGATTTTTTAAAAATTTTTTTATTGGATAGGTTTTATAGCAAAAAGTCAAAAATATTGTGGTCTTTTTTTGTTTTTAGCGCAAAAAAATAAAAAACACAGAGGTGATCAAAGCTGCTGAAAGGAAGCTCCATTTGTAGGAAAAAAGGACATGCATTTCATTTATGTACAGTGTTGCATGACCACGCAATTGTCAGCTAAAGTAACACAGTGACATAATGCAAAAAATGGCCTGGTCAGGAAGGGGGGTAAATCCTCTGGAGGGCAGGTGGTTAAATGAATAGCCCATTAAAGCTGATCTTCATCTTCTGTTACAGTTTACATAGTTAGTATGGGCCAAGCTGGCCCCTCACTAACATGTGAGACCCCTGGATGTGAGCTCATCTTCATATTCTGTTACAGTTTACATAGTTAGTATGGGCCAAGCTGGCCCCCTCACTAACATGTGAGACCCCTGGATGTGAGCTGATCTTCATATTCTGTTACAGTTTACATAGTTAGTATGGGCCAAGCTGGTCCTTCACTAACATGTGAGACCCCTGGATGTGAGCTGATCTTCATATTCTGTTACAGTTTACATAGTTAGTATGGGCCAAGCTGGCCCCTCACTAACACGCGTGAGACCCCTGGATGTGAGCTGATCTTCATATTCTGTTACAGTTTACATAGTTAGTATGGGCCAAGCTGGCCCCTCACTATGCATGTGAGACCCCTGGATGTGAGCTGATCTTCATATTCTGTTACAGTTTACATAGTTAGTATGGGCCAAGCTGGTCCCTCACTAACATGTGAGACCCCTGGATGTGAGCTGATCTTCATATTCTGTTAACAGTTTACATAGTTAGTATGGGCCAAGCTGGCCCCTCACTATCATGTGAGACCCCTGGATGTGAGCTGATCTTCATATTCTGTTACAGTTTACATAGTTAGTATGGGCCAAGCTGGCCCCTCACTATCATGTGAGACCCCTGGATGTGAGCTGATCTTCATATTCTGTTACAGTTTACATAGTTAGTATGGGCCAAGCTGGCCCCTCACTATCACGTGAGACCCCTGGATGTGAGCTGATCTTCATATTCTGTTACAGTTTACATAGTTAGTATGGGCCAAGCTGGCCCCTCACTATCATGTGAGACCCCTGGATGTGAGCTGATCTTCATATTCTGTTACAGTTTACATAGTTAGTATGGGCCAAGCTGGCCCCTCACTAACACGTGAGACCCCTGGATGTGCTGTATAAACTGTATACAGCTGAGGCTACATACAGTATACAGCACTGTGTTCCCGGTGCTAGTGGAGCTCTTCCTGTCTCAGACCCGGAACACAATAGCGTCTGTCTGAGCAGTGCTCGGCCTTTCATAGAAAACAAGGTATTCTATCAATGAAAACAAAGCTTCCTCTGAATGGCTAAGTCAGAGAGGAGGGCTGACAATGTAGCAACTTCTGTCTCATTCAGTCAAAGGAAGCTGTGATTTACTACAAAGCACATTTAGCAGAAGCTCCGAGGCAAGGCTTTAAACTTTGTCTATGTTAGCTTTCCTTCTACTTTAATATGGATATTAATCTATTAAGATGACTTCCATTGCCCATTCACATGCAAGCAAAAACACCATTTATTTTTCCTCCCTTAACGATTGGGTATTCTTTGCAAAGTGAATTTTCCCCCACATTATTCAGCTAAGAAATAATTTCCTTGCAAACGGAAGAATTATTTTTTTTGCATATTCCACATGGATGTTTCTAAATATAACAAACCGAAAATAGAAGCTTTACTAACTGTATGTGTTACATGTATGTGTAATTCTGTGAAAAACAGACAGGAGTAAACACTTGTCAGAAAAAGGCAGACAAGCAAAATGATGTTCCCAGAGGCTGTAGTCACTTGTCTTGTGTTGTCATGTAATATTAATAACTTTGCTTGTGTGTTATGGCCTAGCAAGTCTAACACAGAAATATATTTTGTATCCTTCAATCTAGATTTCTTTCCGACAAGTGTAATTTATTGTGTTTGACAAAGGTTGCCGTTGTGATTTTTCTAAAATATTTCTACTAGTTGTATGATGGTACAAAACTGCTAGAGTAGACAGATCATTTCCACCAGCTCATCATTCTTCAAGATAAATTCCAAACACATGAAAGGTGACTGCAATTAGAAAATGATAAGGTATGTCAAAGTGACTAGTCTACTTCATAGTGAGGATGCATGATTTTTATTTTGTTTTTTGGCCAAGACAGGTCATCTATCATTGTTATCAGGTATTTCATTATCTAGTTTTTACAGTCTATATTAATCAGATATGAAACTGCTTGTGGCCTAAGGTGCTATAAGAAGTAAATGGTCTACGTTTCATAAGAACTATTTCCAACACTGTTTCAGCCTCTTTGCTTACTCATTTATAAAACAAGAGTGGACCTAGAAGGCCTTCTCTGATCTGGATAAGCAACTGGCCTAATATGGAAGAGTTCACAACCTATGTAAACGAGGTCATACAGGACACTGAGCAGCCAAAGAAAACGCAATGTAGCTAAATATTGCTGGTGGGACTGGTATACAATATGTACACTGGTCTTGCTAAAAAAAAAAAACAAAAAACAGTACTTTACCAAGAACAACTTACAAATCAGGTGACCAGTATATTAAGAAGTCCCCAACTTACTTGGTCAGGCAGGGTACATCAGCTGTCTGATGTGGCATTTTATAGCATTCACCTCGGGGAAGGTAGCTGCAGATTCTCTATTTCAATTTTGAATTTGCAAACTAACTTTTGCATACTTGAGACTGCTTTCTTAGGTCTTCCTATACTCAACTCATAAAGGGGGAGCTGTACACAGCTTGGTGTCATCTGTAAAGACTGAAATGGGATTTTTAATCCCAGACCCAATATTGTTTTATAAATATATTAAAATGTAAGGGTCCCAACACTGAACCCTGGGGTACACCACTGATGACCCCAGGCCATTCAGAGAATGAATCATTAACCACTACTCTTTGAATACAATCTTTTAGCCAGTTTTCTACCCATTTACATATGGATTTGTCCAAGCCTGTAGACTTTACCTTACACATTAGCTGTGTGTGGGGAACTGTGTCAAACGCTTTTGCAAAATCCAAGTATACGACGGCCACAGCCACCTCTTTGGATTTGCTCATCTCCTCATAAAAAGAAATCAGATTTGTTTGACAACTTCTGTCTTTCATGAATCCAGGCTGTCTGTTGCTTAAAATATTTTTTTCCCAGCAAGAACTCATCTATGTGGTCTTTTATTAAACTCTCCAGTATCTTCCCAACTATAGAAGTTAAACTAACAGGTCTGCCAGTCATTAAATAGTCCCTAAAACTTAGAAACAATTGCTTAGAAATGACAGAGCTCAATTCTTTAAGGACCCGTGGGTGTATGCCATCTGGTCCAGGTGCTTTATTCACCTTTATTCTGTCTAGATATTTCTGGATTATATCCCTTGTGAGCCAATGTGGATCATCTGGAGCTGTGTCAATACCATGCTCATTGTGGACAAGAGCTCCCCCATGCTCCTTTGTATACACAGAGCTGAAGAAGGTATTTAATACATTTGCCTTCTCTTTGTCCCCAGTCACCCACTCTAGGTTATTTTGTAAAGGGCCTACATGCTCGGACCTGACCTTTTTACTATTAATATATTCAAAGAATTTTTGGGGGCTTGTTCTGCTATCTTGCAATCTGTCATTCATTTTCAATTTTTCAACTTTTGATTTCCTTTTTACATATTCTGTTATATTCTTTGTAATGTTTAAATGATGATAGTGTTTCTTCATTTTTACATTTAATAAAAGCTCTTTTCTTATTATTTATAACTTTTTTTAACTTTGTACATAAGCCACATAGGTCTGATTTTTAACCTTTTAAACTTGTTGTTCATGGGAATATACTGTATTTTGCAGTGTGTTCACATACAGTCTTTTTGAAGAACTCCCATTTCTGTCCTGTGTTCATCAATGCCAATATTCCCTCCCAGTCTAAGTCTTGGAGAGCAGCCCTCAGCCTTGACCTCTCAGTCTGGAAATTTGTTAGAAGTCTCTCTAAATACCCACTGATTATACAGAGCCTGTAAATGGGACATTTACAGAGTAAACATGCAAGGGTAAGAACAAAAAGATGAAAGACTGCATTATTCATGTCAACCTTCTATACTTGTCTACATGATTGCCATTTTGTATCCCATACTGTGAGGACGACTTAATCATTCTTCTGGATATATACAAAGATGAATATCTATAAATCTATGTTCTATGCAACTGTAGCATAGAACATTTTACATTATTGGAAGGCATATTTAAGCAACACTGTTTATAACTAAATTATATATATTTTGTAGAGTAAGACAGACTATTAATCCTCAGATTGGCCTCAGAGTTAAAGTGGTTATAAAGGCCTAAGGTTTTTTACATTCATGCATTCTATGCATGAAGGTAAAAAACCTATGTGCAACCGTGCCCCAAGTCCCCTCAATACTTACCTGAGCCTCATTGTGATCCATCGATGTGCACAACAGCCTTGGCTGTCCCGAGTCTCTGCCTCCTCATTGGCTGAGACAGCAAGCGGGATCTATTGGCTCCTGCTACTGTCAATCACAGCCAGTCAGTCAATGAAAAGAGAGAGGGGGCTGGGCCAAGTCACGGCTCCTTGTGTTAATGGACACACGGAGCAGTGGGTGCCCCATAGCAAGCTGCTTGCTGTGGGGGCAACCGACAGGAGGGAGGGACAGGAGAGTCTTTGGGGGACCCGAGAAGAGGAGGATCCAGGTTGCTCTGTGCAAAACCAGTGCACACAGGAGGTAAGTATAACATGTTTGTTATTTTTCCCCAAAAAAAAAACAACCTTTAGAATCGCTTTATCGACTTGCCTACTGGGCACTTATACCCTGATCCTGCCCAGGCCAAGTTTCAGCCTTCAGCGCTGTCGCACTTT